TATTTTTTTGTGACCCATAGTGTTTTCATTGGTTAATTTTCAGAGGTACATCACCAGAGCTTTCTTCCTACTGTTTTCAGGAAACTCTACTGAGACTTGTGGTGATTCTGCTGGTATTTGAAATACTGGTGGCATATCTTCCAGCATCATGGCAACACACATGCCACCAAAGTATGATAAACTGATGGGTCGTGGGACTGAGGTATACACAACACCAAATAGCATTTTACAACATTGATAGGTGTAGTTCTTTTTTTATTTCTAGATTTTTCTTTGTTGTATGCATTGCAATACAGTGGTTTCCAAACTCGTTCAAATACCTTGAAATATGGATATATGTATAGCCATGATGTGATTCATCCATTCAACAAATATTTGAGCACCTATTATGTACCTGGAATTATTCAACTTTCTAGGTTTACAATAGATACCAGAATAGATATAACCTCTGCCCACTGGAACTTACTGTTCAACTAATAATGAAAGTTTTCTAATAGAAATATACATAATAATAAATGTAGTCAGACCTCCACAGAAATCTGTATTATCTCATTTAGTCTTCTCAAAACCATATGAGGTGGTCAGTAGGGATATAACTATACATTTCACAGATAAGAAAACCAAGTATGAGAAGAAGTGACATAACTTGCTCAAGGTAAAGCAGCTGGTGAGTAGAAGAAGCAGGTTTCAAATTTAGGAAGTCTGATTGGAGTCCTTGTTGTTAATTTCTAAGCCAATGATACTCTGATTTAAGCTTGTATCTGGATCCCCAGAAAAGGAATTGTTATAACCGATTGCTGAAACCTACCTAGACAAAATTCTGATTGAGTAGCTTTGAGCTGAGGCTCAGGAATTTGTATTTTTAATAAATTTGAAAGTGATGCTAATGTTACCAGTCCTGTTGGTCCCAGGAACACACTTTGAGAAATACCACTAAGCCATGTCTCTTTGTAAGCCTGCTTATAATATGTGACTCTAGCGTCAGGTTCTTTGGCATATAAATCCAGTCTTTTAAGTCATATGATTACAACATAGACCAAATTTCCAGGAATGCAATTTCCATGTAAATAACAAAAGGTTGTACTTTTTTTTTCTGCTGGGAACTTAATAAGAGCTATTTACCATCAATCACCTTGCTATAGTATTTTGGTGACCATTTGATAAAGTATTTCAGTTATAACTCACCTGAATTCAGTCTGCATTTGTATTTATCACTCTCACAGTCATTCTACAATTTTGTGTAGAGGTGTGAAGAAGAATAAGCACTAAATGTTTATGTTTTCTAGTGTATTCACACCTGAGCATCTTACACAATAGAGTACATATTATTGCCTTAAAATTTATTAAAAATTTTATTTTCCTTATATTTGGTATTAATTTCTTCTTAGTGTTTACTATATGTGTAAGTAGCTTACATTACATATGAATTTCATTTCAGGATGATAAAGAGCTTCTGAAGAATATTTAATATAAAAATAAAACTTTGAGTATGATCAATTTGAGAATCATAAAAGGGAGTTCTGGTGGCATAGTGCCTAAGGCATTTTGACTGCTAACCAGAAGGCTGGTGGTTCAAACCCACCAGCCACTCCCTGGAAGGAAGGTTGGGCAATCTACTTCCGTAGTGATACAGCCTCAGAAACCCAAGGATGGGTCGCTTTGAGTCAAAGGGACTCAAGAGCAGTGAGTTTGGTTTTTGTTTTGGTAGAGGCAAGAAAAAGGAGCTCTGGTGGCACAGTGTCTAAGGCATGTGACTGCTAACCAGAAGGCTGGCAGTTCAAATCCACCAGCCACTTCTCAGAAGGAAAGTTGGGCAATCTATCTCCGTAAAGATTTACTGCCTTGGAAACCCAATAGGGGTCACTGTGAGTCAGAATTGACTTGATGGCAGTGAGTTAAAGGAGAAAACCAAAAAAACCAAACTAACTGCCATCGAGTCATTTCTGATTCATTGCTACCCCTCAATGGGTTTCCGAGGCAGTATCACTACAGAAGTAGGATTGCCCAACCTTCCTTCCGAGGAGTGGCTGGTAGGTTTGAACCGCCAGCCTTCTGGTTAGCAGTCAAGTGCTTTAGCCACTATGCTACCAGAGGTCCTTTGAGAATTATCAGATGAGTGGAAATAAACTGAAAACCAAGGTTCCTAATATTTATTCCTGAATCTAACTGGCAATGTGACATTTAGCAACTCACTCTCTCTCTGGATCTCTATTTCCCAATATTAATATAAATCTATTAGACTTAGAAGTCTGCAAGATTCCCTTCTATTCATCACTTATTGAATAGTTTTAAACTTTCTTCACAGTTTAGTGTGCTCCTTTGATTATGCACATTAAAGAAATGTCCAACCTGGCTGTTCACCTTATCAATATTGATGACTTAATAAATAATGTCTTAATGGCACACTTTGCCAGAGACTCAGGAGGCAGGGGTACCCTGCCAGTGTGTATCTTTAAATACTAAGTACGTTAATTTAATTACATGATATCAGTTTTTAATCTAAAGTAACCAAAAAAAAACCAAACATACTGCTGTCAAGTCGAATCTGACTCATAGTCTGAGGTGATATCTCTACGGGAGTAAATTGCCCAGTCTTCCTTCAGAGGAGTGGCTGGTGGGTTCCACCAGCCTTCTGGTTAGTAGTCAAATGCCTTAAGCACTAGGCCACCAGATCTCCCATCTAAAGTTAAGAAGGACTATTAAACACCCTTGCCTTTGCAGTTCCTGTGCTCATGAAAAGGAATATTTTCCATTTTGTGCTTTCAAAGGTAACTCCCCTTGCCAAATCAAAAGTGGCTTTCAGGCTTAGGAAACTGAGAGATAAGGAAACTAAGTGCACTTATTTTAACACAAGGACACTTCCTGAGTCTTGTTAAGACAAAATCTAGGAAAGCAAAGGTTAGAAATGTGTGCTTTTTCCCTTTCAAAGCTCACCATCTGTTGGAAATAGTGGTCATACAAATTTTTATTTGTGACCAGTGTGATGATAGTAAAACGTACTCTTGCAGACTGGGTTCTGAAACAATGAAAGTCAGCTGTAGCTCAGAGAAAAATTTAACAAGAGGGTAGTAACCATGCAAGGCAGCTCTGGTGGCATACTCCCTAAGGCATTTGACTGCTAACCAGAAGGCTGGCGGTTCAAACCCACCAGCCACTCCTCAGAAGGAAAGCTGGGCAATTTATTTCTGTAGTGTTACTGCCTCGGAAACCCAAGGAGGGGTCGTTATGAGTTGGATCCAACTCGATGGCAGTGGGTTTTTTTTTTAACCTTGCAAGGTAGAGGCACACAAGCCAGAGGCAACACCTCTGTGTCTTCCCCAGCCTTAAGGCTAGGGGTTTTTATAGTAATTTTTTTAAGGCGTGGTTTGATTATAAAAGGCAGGTATTCATAAAATCCTGACCCTTTTGTGAAGGACAGGAAGCAGAACAAGGTTGTGATAAATTCCTCACATTTCTTCAGGCTGTGCACAGTCTGCTGTTTGCCCTTGGATCAAGACTTGGTCTGGATTGGTCATTTTAGTTCATCAGGTGGCAAAGGAGGGCCAGGGGTGTGCAGACTCCAAAGCTAGTTAATGCTGGCTGGCCACAGACCATGAGCTGAAGACATCTCAAGAATGGCCTGTTATTAGGAAAGGCCATTTAAGTAGTAAATTTATATTTGCATTATTTCTTTTGCAGTATTTCTTCATTAGTCTCATGATCTAAGGAATGCAATTGCCCTGTCCTGTGAGCTGTTCCTGTCTTGCTTTTATGATCTTAGGAATGTGGTTGCAGGGGCAGGATTCTCATGTGATTATGGCTACCTATAAGACAATGTTTAAATTGAAAAAGATTAATATGGAACTCAGAACACATATTCATCTCCCGGAAATTCTAATCTGCCCATATCTTTACAGTATGTGCCCAAGAGGGCAGAGATACAACACAGCAAGTCAATCTTGTCCATCATTGCGTCCTTGATCCTGCACAGGGTCTCACACACAGCAAACTGTGTGGGATGAAGAAATTCTAACTACCAACACCACCCAAATGCCTCAGAGAAGCTCTCACGGTAAAGGTGATATTTAAATTGAGGCAAGAGGCACCTGGAAATAATGCCCTCTAATAATTGCTGGAGAACAGAATGAACACTGAAGTGTATCACAAGACCAGCATTCTCCCAACAGCTCCCTTTCACCCAGGCAAGTTACTTCCCCTTTCTGAGTCCCCAGATTCTCATCAGTAAAACGAGAAGGGGTGGAGCAACATAATCTAGAATTTTTTTTTTTTTAATCCCTGTGTAACTTAACCCTACAAACTCTGCAACTTTGCAGGGTAAAAAGAACTAATATACAAAACCCGCAAATTTATACTACAATTAAATTCTTCTATGTGCAAATATTAACAGGAAACAAAACTAACAAAGGTAGTGAAAGTTTTGGAAAACGTTTGGAAGAGCAGTTGTCAAGGAGCTAGTAGGATGGTTGGGGTAACAAGTTCAATTTTTCAGAAACAAAAACAAAAACTGGTAGGCTCAGCAGTGAGGCAACTGGAGCCGAGAGGAAGAGAACGAGGGGGAAGAAAGGCAAGTAAAAGATATCCCTACATATGAGGTGTCCCTCTGTCTCCCCTCTATTATTTCCTGGCTCCTTACCTCTCGGTCTCGGGTTTATTACTTACCAATGAGCGGAGTTATGTGTCAAGTACTGGCCGCTTGTGGCTCTTAAGTTCTATTTAAGTCGCCCTGACCGTGCAAAAATTTGAGACGTCCCTTGCCAAACTGCTCCTGGCTTATCTCAAGGTTTAAGGTCAGGCCGCCGCCAGGTGAAGGGTGCGCGCTCTGGACCCCCACCTGAGAGGCCGGCTGCTCCGGGACGCCCACCCCCACCCGCCGCTGAGACTCCGCCCCGTCGGCCCGCGGGGTTTCCGGACCCCCTCCGGCTACTTTAAGCCGCGCATTTTCCTAGCCACCTCACTTGCCCTTGACTCTCGGGCTTCCGCCCTCTCTCGTACAGTCTCTCCAGGCTGCTGCCAATATGGGTCACTGGCCCCGCTCGCTGTGGGCCGCCCTCCTGCTGCTCCTCGTCGGCGTGTACTCGGTGCTCTGCGACACACCTGCCAACTGCACCTACCCTGACCTGCTGGGCACCTGGGTCTTCGAAGTGGGCCCGGCCAGTTCCAATCGGGAGGTCAACTGCTCGGTTATGGGTAAGCCTCCCAGATCCCTGCCTCTTCAGCGCCAGCCCTTTGGGGACCCTTTCCCGCCCCTTAACCCTGCTTCCCCTTAGTGCCCACGCCGAACCTCTTCCCGAGACCGATACTGCTGAGAACCCTGAACTTGCTGGCTGGGCTCGGGGACCTTTTGATGCCTTTTCCCGCGCCTGGGCCGCGAAGCAAAAGTTGAGCTACTGAGAACTTCTCACTTAACATTTTCTTGATTATCCAGAGACTCCTAAACTTTTCTCATTATATTTCATTTTCCAAAAAGTTTGGAAGAGGGTTGAGACTTGCAGTCTTTGAATTCCCGGTGCAATCTGGCTTTTGTTTTGTTTTGTTTTTAATTGTGTTGATGAAATTAGCTCAAAGACACCAGAGGATATATAGCAAGAAAAGTTTTCTCCTTTTGTTAGGTTGTGGTTTATGCCCAGTGATTTTTAGTTTGGTAGTGGGTTCATGCTACTCATCCAAGGAAACATCTGGTAGCATTCTGAACTGTTTCATGTATTGATTGCAGGGAGGTATATAAAAGGCTATTTAAAAAAAAAAAAATGTACCCGTCAATTTGTATTTGGGAATGCCCAGCTCCAGGTACAATGCCTGGCTCATGGAAGGCTCTAAAAATCTAGTGTTTGAATGCATTGGGATTTTCCACATGCCTTCATCCCATGGCTACACCAAAGAAAGAATCTGATGAATGGGAGAGAAGAACCACATAACTAAGGGTCAGAAGAGGCACATTTTTGTTCTGCCCAAACTCTTACCAGCCAATGACTTGTGCAGAATGAGAGAAGCTCTCTGCAGTTTCCTTGTGAGCAGAATGAAGATTGCCATGTGTTATTGAAATAGGCCTATTCAGCTGTCTAACTCCAGATGACTGTATAGTATTTCATAATCTTGGGAATTTTAAACATTTTCTGTTTCTTAAAGTTGAGTCTGGAGGTGGGGAGAGAGAAGGGAGATTAGAATTTGCATTGTCCTGTCACAAGCAATCTCCCATTTCAGAGCATTCATCTGAAAGGCAGAAAAACTCTTCCCTTCTAAAGTATGGAAACCTCCAGAAAGAGCAGAACCTATTTCAGGTCACCCCGTCTATAACACGTACCTTTGAACTTAGTATAGCAATTAAGATCTGAGCCTTTATCTTCTGAATGTTGAAAGTTTAATTCCTATTCATACAAATTAGTTTTATAGGACAGAAATCGCAAATCTGCTAAATACTTTGGAAAGATCAGGTACTGAGAAGTATTAAAGAGAAAGATAATCCCTTTCTTCTCTGAAGAGAGCACTTCCTGGGCCTAACACTTTGTCCTTTTTATCTTCTGATTGCTAGTCTTTTTAGCTCTTTGTCATACCCTTTTATTTTCATATTTCTAACTTTTACTATCATTTTGTAGTCCTCCCTCCTCCATATCTGCTTGTGATTTTCAGCATCTCCTGTTTCTCCCTTTCTTCTCTTGAATGTGGAAAATTTTCGGTATTTAGATGCTCTGGGAAGGTGAGGGCTGTATTTTGGGATCTTCCTGCCTGTTTAGCTACATGGTTTCCCTCTATCTTTCAGAAACCTAACTTTATAAACTTATATGAGACCCCTCTCAGACTCTACGGAGGGAGGCAACAAGATAGAGGCTGACTTCTTCACAAACCAGACTGTGGGCCCAAATTGAGTCTCCTGAAAGGAATGCAGCTTAAGCAAACAATGGAAGTTATTGAGGAGGCTTTTCACCCTACAGAAATCTGAACACCTACTTTTCCTTTGTTGTGCATTTTCCTTTCTTTAGGACCGCCAGAAAAAAAAGTCGTGGTCCACCTTCAGAAATTGGATACAGCTTATGATGACCTTGGCAATCCCGGCCATTTCACCATCATTTACAATCAAGGCTTTGAAATTGTGTTGAATGACTACAAATGGTTTGCCTTTTTTAAGGTTAGTTTTGTGGAAAATATATTCACATTTTCAGTGATTTGATATCTGAAGTTCCTTCTGATTAGGAGACCTTCTGAATTTTAATTCTAGATTAAGAAGATAACAGAATTGCACCATGCTTCCCAAGAGAAATTGTTGTTGTTGTTGTTGTTATGTGCCATCAAGTCGGACCCAACTCATAGCGACCCCTTCTTGGGTTTCTGAGAGATTCCCAACCTTCCTTCTGAGGAGTGGCTGGTGGGTTTGAACCTCCAGGCTTCTGATTAGCAGTCAGATGCCTTAGGCACTACACCACCAGAGCTCCTAAAGAGAAATTAGATGGTATAATTTTATCACTTTATTTAAATTTGTGTTTTCACATATTTGGACATTGGGTTAAAAAAGGAAAAAAGCAACCTGATCTATATTTGAATATTTAAATCTATTCATCTTAAAATCACATTTTGGTAAGTATGACAAAACCCTTAATTTACTTTCTTTATTATATAGATTTATTTCTAAGTGTTTTGTACTGAATTCATAGAGAAGATAATGGAAAATATAGATTTTGTTTTCTTGAAGTTACTACGTTATCCTTCCTATCATTTTCTGTTGGCTGTGAGAAATTGACCTAGATGACTCATTGAAGTAGTACAATGTACTAGTAAATGTGAATAACTTATTTGAATAAAGTAAGACAGAGAGAGTGTAGGAGTTATTCTTTGGTCTAATTAAAAGTATTAGTGTAGCCAAGCTAGTCCAGCTTGTTTTCTTCTCTCCCTAGGACCCAGTTATTGAAGTCCAATCTTACATTCTGCTTTCTATTTCATATACATTCTGGGATACAATAGTTTAGCAGATATTGCAGTCCATTCTAGGCATTTCTTCTGAAATTGAAATTTTTTCTATAAGGAAAATAATAAATGTTCAGATAAATTAAATCCACAAGCCTGAGAGGAGCTGCTTCTCATTAAACTTGAGAGTACAGTATGAAAACCTGTAGACCATTTCATGGGGTAGGGTTTACAGCCTTTGGAGCATCTAGAAATAGTTGGCCAATTTTAGGGATTTATGGGAAACTGAGAAATGAAGTCTGTTATATACCACAAAAGCCAAAGCAGCAGCAAAGGCCTAACTTATAAATTTGTTGTGATTTGTCACTAGATAATGGTTTTAGATGTATGCCAGTTAGATGTATGTCTTAGAATAGCTCTTGACACTTTTTTTTTTTCATTTTAACATGAAGACCTCTCTTTAATGAGATACAGAAAAAAATAAAAGAGATAAAAAGAAAAAATTGTCTTCCCTCACCTGGATTGCCCAGTCAGATTTTCAGGTCGTGGATATAAGTCTCTCCAGGCCATCTGGTGATGGGCAGCTTTTGGGATAACTTTGTGGATGAGAATCAGCATGAATCCAACCCCCAAGATAATAGAGACTGATCACCCTTCCCATTTCTCAATCATTTCTGACACCATCTGCTCATGTGACATACTCTGACCCTAGCCGTCTGGGGCTAGTGCTAAATAGCCAGATGTCAGCCACAAGTTTGAGAGTTCATATGACACCCTGGATTTCACTTACTGGCTCTGACTTCTCCTTTGGGTTTGGTAATTCACTAGAATGACTCACAGAACTCACCAAGAGTGCTATCTTTATGATGAAATACTTATAACAAAAGGATACAAATCAAGATAGTCATGAGAGATACACAGGTGAGAAATACGACTGTTTTAGTCAGCCCCGAGAAGATGGTTGCCCTCCTTATGCCACATGGAAGAAGAAGTGAGTGCTGACCAATAGTGAGAAAGACTCCCTTTGGAAGTACTGATTTCCCAGTCAGCAAAGGTTCTCAAGCAGAGTTGGGCCCAGCCTTTCTCTCAGGGGAACTATAGAAAAAAAAGTCTTTGTACTTCTGGAAGATTGGTTCTTAATCCTTTAGTTTCCTTTTATATCATAAGTATCATACTATTGTCTATGAGATTGCAAGTAATGACTGAAGTGCTAGAGTCAAGAAGTGCTACTCAAGTTCATAATAGGAAGATAACTATAGGTAGGATGGTCAGGGGTGACCAGAACCAGGTCTGTCATCCTCATCACTTCAGTGGCCAGCAAAGTGTTTGATCCATATAGATTTGTAATCTTTATTTGTTAAAAAAAGAAAAAAATAAAGAAATTAATGGATGAAGTAGAATTCAGCTGGCAAAATAGGTGGTTGAATAAATTAAGTGGGAGATGAGAATATATAAATTAAAAAAAAGAGAGAGAAAACCAAACTCACTGCTGTCAAGTTGATTCCAACTCATAGTGTCTCCTCCTTGGGATTCTGAAGTGGGTATCTCTACAGAAGTAGATTGTCCAGTCTTCCTTCTGAGGAGTAGCTGGTGGGTTTGAACTGCCAGCCTTCTCTAGTTAGCGATCAAATAAATGCCTTAGACACTACACCACCAGAGCTCCTGAATATATAAATAGATGAGTTTTACTCATGTAGATTAGAATTGGGGATCCAAATAGTTTTACTCATTTGCATTACTCATTGGGGAAACTGGTGGGAAAACTTATAAAATCACTGTTTAATTACCACAGAGACAGAAGTAGATGTGGGCAGTTTTGCTCCATTAATATTTTTTCATAAATCTGTGTGTTCTCAGTTTAAATAGGAATCAGGAGCTAGTTCAGACAGAAGCAAAGGCTGACAGGCTGGCAACTGAATGAGGATTTGGCACACACTATTTTTATTTTTTTGAATCACAGTGTAAGCAGCTTTAGTATTTTCCCCTGGTCTCAGGTTAGATATAAACAGAAAAGGGAAATAGGAGTATAAGTGTTCTTAGCTGTAAGTGGAAACAGTCAAAAGTACTAATGCAGCATGGGACCTTGCCTAATCATAAACTTACAGACAGCATTGTCTAATGCTATTCTCTCATTAAGATTAACAATACTGATTTCAGTATATTCTTCAAAGTGCCCATTTGCCAGAGTCATTATCAGAGCTGTGTTTTCCTGCTGAAAGATCAGCCATATAACCAGTCTGACTGGTAAATTGTTAGGACTTGTGATAATGATCAGAATTTCAATAAGCAGAGTAGAATATACATAAGATAATTGATTTTAAAACTTATAATCAAGTAGTTTCAGATAAACATTTTTCAGTGATAAAATACCTTGTTCATTTAGCAAGTTCAACTGAAAAAGTGATGGGGTAGAGTTTTTTTAAAAAAGAAAAATAGGATGGAGCTGACTTTAGGTAATAGGAGATTCAAAAACACTTGGTGACAAAAAAAAAATTTTTTTAACAAGAAAGTTTGCTGAATTTTACCATGAGCATCAGGGTATTTCCTAAAATACTGGGAAAGTCATGCTGGTTAGCATGTTTATCCAACGAAAAATACAAACATTTAATGAGATTTTTGAATAAAACACACGAGAATTTATCCTATAAACTTAGACCATATATTTAAAAAAAAAAATTGTTTTAGAAAACAAGGAATCATCAAAACGTAAGTGTTATTTGCCAGTTTTAAATGTCTTACCTCAATGACAACATAGTCCACTCAGCTTCTTGCCATATCTGACAAGTTTTTGTAATGTACATGTACCATCCATACATTGTTATTCTACAAATCAGTTGAATTTCTGAATCTCTCTCCATTGACTCATGCCAGGCCTTACTGCATGCTTCCTTTTGCCTTTTATAGATACACTTATATCAGATTATTTCTTATTGTACCTGTAAGTTGGGTCCGACTCGACGGCGAATAACAACAACAAGTTTATTGAGCAGTTGATCCATCCATGCCTCTTGTTCTGTTAGGCTCCTGCTCCACTTCCTGATCCCCTTGAACATTGTACAGTTCAACAAGGCAGACAGAGCTTCCTCATCCCTCTCCCTTGGAAACAGTTGGAGAATATTCTTATTGCTTCATTAAGTGCTCGTTCAGGCCTCACCTGGAAGACAAGTATCTTAAATAATTTATGTTTGTCTTAGTTTCCTAGGGCTGCTGTAACAAAATACAACAAAATGGGTGGCTTTAAAGAACGGAAATATATTTTCTCACAATCTGAAGGCTTGTCATAGTGACCCTTCCTTGGGTTTCCGAGGCAGTATCTCTATGGACGTACATTGCTTAACCTTCCTTCTGAGGAGTGGCTGGTGGGTTTGAGCCTCTAGCCTTCGAGTTAGCAGTCAAGTGCCTTAGACAGTACACTATCAGAGCTCCTATCTGAAGCTGGAAGGCCAAATTCAGGGCCTAGGCAGGGCTATGGTCTCTCAGCTTGGAGAAGCCTCAATAGTTTCTTTGCATTCTGATGATTCCTCAGATGCTGTCTTCCCCTGTGTATCACCCCTCTCTCTCTGTCGTTCCGTTCTGTACTCAGCATGACCTCAATAACCTCTGCAAGAAAAAAATAATTTCCCCAAACGAGGTCACAAGCACAGAGACCAAGACTTTAATGTATCATTGTGGGGGACATAATTCATTCTACAACAGGGTTCCTAAGAGTTTTTTCCTTGGTTTTAACTGCTTTGAAAACTCAAATGCATTCAGGGTCTATTCAAGAGGTTATCTTAGCATTTAACACCAGCCTTATGTGAAACAGCAAAATGGAAACTTGAAGCAGCAAAATGGAAACTTTCTTGTTGTTGTTATGTGCTGTGGAGTCGGATCTGACTCATAGCGACCCCTCCTTGTATTGCTGAGGCAGTATCACTATGGAAGTAGATTGCCCAACCTTCCTTCCGAGGAGTGGCTGGTGGGTTTGAACCCCTAGCCTTCTGGTTATCAGTCAAGTGCCTTAGGCACTATGCTACCAGAAAACTTTCTTAGAGACATTCAAAGTCAGTTTTACTTTAAAACTACTGTGCTGGCCAAAGAAAAACTACACTATCTGCAGGCCAGTTTCTAAGGCTATCAGGTTTAAGAGCGGTTACATAGGTTTGTTATACTTGGCACCCTCCAAGAAATTTTTATTCCTTAAAAGTACCTGCAAATGAAAAGCAGCCAATTTCTTATATAAAAATA